CACCCAAAATAAATAATTGATGTTTTTCATCTCTCTGGATTGGTCACAAAACCAAAAACGACGACGTTCAAAAATCCAAGAGACAGGATTTCATGTCATCAGTCTATCATTTATCACAATTCCTCCTCATGCAGAGATAATGTTCATCATCTTGTACATGAGTGGCCTGCAGTCATCCTGGTTACTGCAGCCTTCAAAGAGACTATCTCCTACCACAGTAGGACGGAGGGCTCTTAATGAAATTCTACAACATGTGTTGTTCTTTTCCTGCAAAGTGGATCAGTGAGGTAACAATGCTTCTAAATAGTAAATAAATCAATCACTTTCACACTGAAAAATATCCAGCTCAAGGAAATGACGCATAAGAACATGTCTAAGGCAGAACAGAGAGCAGATGTTTGGCCCGAACCAGAGTTCAAATCAAAATACTCAACTGGAACACATGAGTTCATCACTCGTCGCCTGTCTGTGGTGTATTGATGATTTTATTTTAACATTTACGTCAAGTCAAGTCCAAGCCCAAAAGGGAAAAACACATTTTGCTTCTTTTACAATGTTAACCTACTCTATCCATCCAGCCATCCATCCATTTTCATCTGTTACCGGGTCGCGGGGGCAGCAGTCTCCATGACTGCCACCCAAATCACACTGCACCGTACCAACCCCCCTGAACCTTCCTGCAGGTGGTGAGTCCACTGGAAGGTACCAACCGCCCTAACTGGGATTTGATCTTGCCCAGGAGGTGAACCCTGGGGTTTCACACCAATGACAGAGACATTTTCTCTGGGCCAAAGCGCCACTAACCTACTGTATATATAACATAAACCATCCAACCAAAGTAAAAACCAAACTCAGACTGATCCAGACCCAAGTTTTTATATACAGTCGGTTCTCAGTCACCTGGAGCAGGTCAGTAATAGACGATTATATAAACCAAGACAGTTGACCTGACTTTTGATGACCTGTCTCAGAGGGCGCAAGAGAGACTGAAAATACTGGGGTGACAGCAGAGGTTAATAAACTGAGGGGAGAAGTGGGGAGGAGAGAGCCCAGGAGCAGATTTACTGTACAACACTACAGTATATTCTGGGTACTGTCAGACAAGTTACAGTACGAGCAGTACAGCCGAGGAAACAACTTCATCAATGGTGTTAGATTAATTATAATTATGTGGATGTTATGATAATAATAATTGAATTCCTTTATTATTCGTACCACAATAAAGTTATTTACAGCGTGTGGTTCCTTTAGGGATCAAACCCAGATATAAAGTTATTTACAGCGTGAGTCTCTGCCATGGGAGGTGCTATTAAGTATGTGGTTCCTTTAGGGATCAAACCCAGAACCTTCTGCTTGTAAGGCAGGTATAATGACAACTACACTACAGCGATCAAACCCGCAACCTTAACGTTTTTAGCTTCACGTGCTAACCAACTGAGCTAACGGGCCACTCCATGTAGAGTGTAAGGTGAGACGTTTAATGTTATTCTTAGACAGTAAAAAATGTTTTGCTCAAAATGTGAATGAATTATTTTAGTTTTGTCCTTGAAACCTTGCCACATACTTTGTTTCTCTTTTCAAATGTTCCTTTTATGAAATGATAGCTACCAGACAATTAAAACCGTCGTCACTAATCATCTTAACGACGTACAACATGCGAGCAGGATTCAGGGGTTTTCAGCCCAGTCTCTTACCTCTCCATAGTCGGTGGTGAGCACCAGCATTCCATCCCCACAGGAGTTGACGGTCGCTGGAACCAGCTGCTCCTTCTCTCTGACCCAAACACGGGCTCCCTGCAAACACACACACACACACACACACGGACAAGATTAATTATGATTTCTCCATGTTCTGCATACATATGATCTGCAGACAAAGCAAAGTATCTCTGTAAAAAATTATAAATCACTTATATAAATGTTGAAGCTAAAATAAGAAGCCTGAGAAATAGCACGCAGTTGAATCTTCAAATCCCATCCTCGGAAATCATTTGAAATACAAGCCTACGACAACTTTGTTAGTTGTTGAACAAAAATCAAAAGAACAAATGTTTTCTGTCATGAAAGGCCTCTGGGCAACAGTGAGACTTTGATTAAGACCCACAGTGTTGACACTTTTATATGGTTTTTTTTAATATGTTTATCCTGTCAAAAATAAAACCAGTTCCTCGAATATTTTATCTTTGACATTTGACTAGTAAATTTCCCTATCCTAGTCTAGCATAGCTACGTCTATCCTAGTGTTTTTAAACATTTTTGTATTGTAGCTAACCTAGCATTGTAGCTTATCCTAGCGTAGCCTGACCTAGCCCTTCCTATCCCATCCTGGTCTGGCCTAATTTAGACTCTTCTCCCCCAGTTTATTTAAATCCAGTTTAGCCCAGCCTAGCCTAGCCTAGCCTAGCTTAGATTAGCCTAGCTTAGGCTCCCCTGTCATTCACTGCCAAAGCTAAGCCCAACGCGTGAAAAGTGGTTTAAATTTCCACTTGATTCTGATCAAACAGATTGGATTCAGTTGACCATTGAACTGCTGATACAACATGTCAAAGACACAAGTCATTTGGAAAACAAACCGCCGGTAATTAGGATTTTTAAAAAGCCTGTAATTGATGCTCATAATTACGACTTAATTTTGCCAATGACGTCTGAAATCCTCAAGTGAATTTCACACTGCACGACTGCACACACAGATGTGTTAAATGTGGGAACAAGAATAACATCTGGATTCTCTATCAGCTTAAGCAACAGGGACTGTGTGTGTGTGTGTGTGTGTGTGTGTCAAGTTGTCTACCATAATGTAAATCATTACATGTGGAGGTGCAGAGGTGAGGATTTGTTATGTAGAGTGAGGGGGGGGTCTCATGTTCAGAGGAAGTGTTCTCTTCCTGGACATTTTCACACACACAGAACCTTCATTCACACAGACACTGACCTCTGACCTCTAAGCTTTAAAAAAGTCCGAAGCAAAACAGTGGCAGCGGAAGAATTAGAACAGTCGAGGAAATGAGGGAGAACTGGCAGAAACTGAAGGGTTTTGACACATTAGTGACAATAACAGGACAAATATTCCTAACAAACCAGATGAGTGTGTGCATTAATAACCATTGCTAAGAAGAGAAAATCCAAGCAGAGGGCAGCAGAGAGCTGCTACTCTTTTTTTTTTCATGACCTGTTTAATTTTGTGCCTCATTCTAAAAATTACTTTCTACACCGACATATTCACGCTGTAAACAGTTTAGTTCATACTGTTACTCTCAATCTAAATGCTAATTAGCGCAGCCTTTAGCAACCAGTCTTCCATCACCCTGTCAGATTCCGACACGCCAACCATTACAGTGGTGACGATGTTGAGACTTGACCTGGTGACCTTCCCTGCCGATGGTTCCATTCTCACAGTTCACTACACTGCATCCTGTTTAAGTGATTAAATGACCTTTGACCCCACTAAAACCATGTCAGACTGACCACTGGGCCCGGGCCCCTGAGGCCCAGTTCACTTTACTGGTGTCCCATTAACATTAAAGAGTTTTGGGTGAATACCAGTGTTTGATAAGAACGTCATGTGATAACACTGAGGTGTGACATCACAGGTGCAAGAGCAGGAAAAGTGAGGTAACAGTGACTGGAGATGGGTTTTTAACACAACATTATCTGATCTTTAAACAACACTTTCTATTTTATGAAATTTTGTTTTTTTTTTTATTTTGGGAAATGACAGCTTAACTGTCAGACTAACTGTTGTGCTTAAATATACTATATACTGTATATATATACATATATACATACTGTATATATACATATATACACACATATATGTATATATAAATATACATATTTATATATATACATGTATATATAAATATACATATATGCACATATATGTATATTTATATGTATATATATATATACACACACATATATATACATATACACATATACGAACACATATATATAAATATATATACACATATATATACTCATATATATATACACATATATACATATATACATATATATACACATACTGTATATATATATATAAGTATTGAAACATCCTGGTTTGAGCTGCAATATAAATCATCCATCACTGTTTTTCCTTTACATTTCCCAACTTTGGGAAATTCACCTTTTCCTTTTTAATCCTACCACATATCCATCTCTCCTTTAAGTAATTTGCTCTTTGGTTTCAAATCAATGTACTCTGCCTCAGACCTGCTCAGTCTCAGGGGCAAAAACAACGAGAAGGCAGACAGAAGGTTATAAATGACCTGCTAGCATTTCACCCTCCTACACCCACCCACACCCTTGTTCTCCTCCTCCTCCTCCTCCTCCTCCTCTTAGTGTCCTCATCTCCCCCTCCCCCTCCCCCTGTTCCATTACTGGTCCAGACAGGCAGCGGTGGCCATGCATAACAACAAACTCTGGCTCTTTTTCCTCTTCTATGAAATCCAAACCTGGCTTTGGTCAAACAGTGGCCCCCACCTCCATCTTTCATCTGTTCGTCAACCTCCATTAAACCTCAAATCTCCTCAATTGTCACTTCACCCTTAGACGATGACCTTTGGCCCCGGACCCTGACAGGAGTAAAAAGAACACCTAAACATCCGCAGAAAGAATGGGTCTGATACAATTTTTGTCAATCTTAAAAAAAATGTTCAGTCTGTTCTTCCTGTCTTCAGTGGTGACTGATCAAACTGAAACAACGCAGCAGCTGTTGAGGAAAATATCATTACAGCTAAGACTTTAATGAAATGTAAAGTAATCTAATGTTAGCTCATGCTAATACAGCAAGTTCACCGTGCCTTACCCAGGGAACAGAGAAAGTCAGTGAAGTCAGTGAAGAGTCTACTGAACACTAGAAAGTACACTACATAAGGTCATCTTTAATTGTTGCAGTATCATACATGCAATGATGTCAAAGTATCATTCATTTTGATGTTGCGCTTTAGATGTAATAACATTTTGGTGTCACAGAATAGTACGAATCTAAGCATCACGGCATCACAATTAATTTATTTCTTGACATTAATAATGATCTAACTTTTGTAAAACAGATGACAGCTGACCAAACGGCAGCTAATGGATGATAACTAATGGTCAACACGAAGGTGGGAGGGGCCGAGCGAGGTCTCTGGAGACCAAAGGTCAGGGTGCATTCACAGTTGACTTTGAATGTGTGTGTCTGTTTGTCCACGTCTGACAGAGAGATTTAGCAAAAGCATGAATTAGACTGACGAGCAGCAGCAGTCAGTAGGAAAAAACTATGTTTACTTCAAAAATACTTCTAAAATATGACTGTAAACATGCACACAAACATGATGGGACAACAAAGGATGAACAAAAATGTAGTAGTTTGGTACGTGTGCTCTGTGTACAACAGCGTAGCAGCAGTACTACGATGACTGTGTGGGAAATATCACCAAACTGAATCCTCATGTGAAACAAGTATTTTATCGTCTTCTCAAGGCATTTTCAAACATGGATGACAGGGTTCTTAACAGACTACTGAAATGGTGACTTGACTTTATGTATGTGACGACCCATAATAGATGAGGAGGAGTGGAAGTGATGAGGAGTGGCTGTGGCTGTGGCTGTGGTTATAAGTGCCTTTGTAATTTCATTAGTTGTCCACTGTTGAAGTGAGTACTAGCTGTAACAGCATGGAAATAATTCACATGACACGTCCACAATACTGTTAGCTACACCGAGGACGGAGCCAGTGGTAATTGTACATTAACATTATTACAGTACTCACTCAGTAAACTTAGCCATTTTAATATATTAATAACTAATTAACTAATAATTAACTCACCTAAATACATTAGTATGATTGTTTTTTTTCTTCTTACGTTTGTCTAAAATATTTAAATAAATTAAAATTAAAATTTTTTTTTTGTTTGTTTTTGTCTATTTTGTTTGGATGTTTTTCCCATAAATATAAAGGATCATAGAGCACAGTTTCGTGGTGACAGTTTTTTTTTTCAGCAACTTTTTAATTTCAAGTGTTTGGCCATGCGGGGGGGGAAGTGGTTATTGCTCTAGCCTTACATCCCAAAGGTCACTGGTTTGATCCTGTGTGGTAACTGATGAACTTCTGTGTCCAGTTTGTATTCATAGGTCCTAGTATTAGGTTGATTGTTCACTCTGTGACCTATAAAAACTGGACTGCTGTGTCATATGCAGCCCAGTGTTGTACCCTAAACCTAAGGTTGTCAACGGAGAGTTCGGTTTTATACAAGCGTTTGTGTGATAACAGCTGCTCTCTGATCAATATGTTCCTCTGCAGCCCCGTCTGTTTCAGGGCCCTGATCTGTGCCAGTCATATTCCATTAAAGGTGATAATACGATCACCTTTAATGGAATATTAAAAGCTCTCGACGGATTAGGGCAGCAGGAAGTAGAGCAACAACATGCATTTATGGGCTGGTGTGTGTGTGTGTGTGTGTGTGTGTGTATCACCTGTGGGTGAAGCACATCTGTCAGGAAAAGTGATTATAATATAAAGCAGATGGAGTTTTCAGGCCAATTTATCATACATTATTCACACGTTTTATTCAGAAAGGATAAAAACCGTGATGGGTATGGAAAAAGCAGCAAAACAGTGAGTTTTCCGCCAGACCTAGCTGTTTTCTTTTGTTGCTTCGACTCAAACACTTGAGTTCTACACTACAAACCTGGATTTTAAACGTGTTATTTGTTATTGTGTGTTTGTGTTTTTATGAGTTTCCAAATCCTCTTAGAGAGCTGGGTTCTGAGCAGTCTAATGATCACGTTGTCTCTCATCTTGGATTAAA